AACATCTTTTGCTCTTATTTGGTTACCAAAACCTCCTGGACCACCAGGAAATATTCCACGAGCAGTATTAGATCATCAAGATAAAGCATCAATTGCATTTCAAATTATTTCAATTATTTGTTTCATAGGAGTTATTATTCATGGTCTTGTTATGAAATTTACTAAACCAAACATGTTTATTCAATTAAGATTATTAGTTTCATTGATATCATGTGTAGTTACAATGATACTTTTTATTTTTTATATTGCACTTGGTTTAACTGTTTATTCAAGATTTTCACAATCGAATACGACTGACAATTCTCCTAATCGAGGAAGAAGTTTTCAAGAAAATTCTAATGAAATAAATTTATTAGAAACTGAACTAAACTCACGAATTGATTCTTCATCTGTAAATTCATCTCTATCTTATATTCCATGTTTACCAAATGAACATGGTTTGATGTTTATTGTTTATTTCTTAATTATTTTTATGTTTGGTGTCAAAACTAGTTTTGGTTATTATAATTATCGTCATTATGTTCAATTATATCCTCCACCATCACTTCGAAATCTTGCTATTACTATTGGTATATCTTTTCTTATTGGTATAATATATATGATTATTGCAGCTGGTCTTAATTCTAATCCATCAAATAATATTTCTGAGATATATATAGGTAAACTTTGTTGGTTTAGTCGTAGTGTTATTCATTATTTTTTAACTATACCAATATGTATATTTCTTCTAACAAGTATTATTCTAATTATTTGGGTTGCTAAACATTTGATTGTTCATGCTAACAAAGCTGAATCAGCTGAATCTAAAGATACTCGAAGAAAACATTGTGTAATCGTAGTCTTAATATCTTGTGTTACTCAAGGTCTTGGTTGGCTTTTTGGTCCATTGATATTGATTACTGATCCGAAAGCTGGTGAAGTATTAGGATGGCTTTTTGTTATATTTAATGGATTGGAAGGTGTTTGGATAATACTTTTATATATTATTGCTCGCAAAGAATATGTGGATGAAAGGTCATGTTTCACCCCGGACATCCAAAGAACATTCGGAGATATTAGAGATGAAGCAGCAGAATGTGAGATAGATGATCTAAATGCTGACAGAACACATCCACAATTGAAAAATTTAAAAAGTGATTCACCACGTCATTCCAATGCTGGCTTGTCAGAAATACAGTTACATTATCGCGCCTATCTTGATGATATGAAAAATGGATAAGCGTAAATGAGTTTGTTTGAAAAAAAATAGTTTATCTCATCATTCTTTTCTTTATATCGTATCATTGACTTCACTAATTCTGTCGATTCTAAAGAAACATATTACTAGCATTCAGAAAGACTAATGCTAGGAATGTAAAAGACAAACCAAACAAAAAGATTTCACATAGTAGAAGACATTCAGACTATTTTGAAAAACATTCAGATGCAATATTATCTAGTCATAAAACGATTTTCTTCATGTCGTGCAATGCAATCGATCTGCCAGTGAAGGCAAATATATCAAGGTGTGTTATAAATTCTTTTGTCTCTTGTAGATATTGTATCTTTGAATCATGATCTTGACATCAAGTTTTATAGACATTTAATTACGATTGTTATCATGTAATTTAACCAACGTTCTCAAGTAGTCTTTTCAACAGATATAGCATATTAAAACACTCAGTGAGCATCCATCATAAATAGACGCAAATTATAAATAATTCAAGTTATTGCAGCGCACAACTTGTTTAAGACACATATAGGAAAGGTGACAATGTTTGAACAGTTAGTAGTTGATAGGTAATGAGTAAAGAGTAAATAAATATTTTGTAGTGCTATCGAAGAAGTACCAGTAAACAATATTGAGTTGGCTACGTCTCTTTGTTACTAAACTTGAAGACGAGCTCACTCAACAATGCTCTCCGATCCTAACTTACTTGCTAGATAGCTAGCATTTCAGATATTCAAACGATGAAGTCTATTTGATTATGAAGCTTCTCCTCATTGAAGTACTCGTATCGAATTCGAGTAGTTGATGAAACCGGTAGATCACAAAGCATATATCTTTGAGTAGTTGATAGATTACATTACCAGAATCAATCAAAATTTCAGATTTTCTAGCATAGCATTTAATTGATGTTCTAAATCTGAACGTTGATCTGTAAATTGTATTCCAATCTATTCAATAGCGACATCGGTAAGATCATCTGTGAAGCAGAACAACATGTCAGTAGTTTTCGAAAATTCATTGACTTGATTAGAGTTATTCCTTCTAATTATATACTTTTTTCCTCTTTATATAATGCTTCTCGTCATTGAACACGTATTGCGCGAAATCGATTTAAGTAATTTTGTTTAACCGAATGTAATATCTTTATTTTGTTCTTCCCATTGTCTTCAAGAATATGTTAAGCAAATTAGATTGAACTTGCCTAGTTTTACTCCTTTTTGTGATTAGTCATACTCAGATTTTTGATATTACCGTTTGAAAATTCCATGGATCATCAAATTTCAGTAGTAACGATGATCCTTTATAACAGTTCCGTTCAGCATTTTGTAAACTTGAAAGCACATAGCTGATAGCTATGAAGCCTTAGATGTAACGATTATGTGCTTCCAGTGACGGTGAAAATTATTAATAATTTTTGCGTACGCTTTTCATAAGTGTATGGGATCGTTAACAAGGTCGATGAAATCCTCTAGTGAATCTTTCATCAATTCCTGGATCTAACTGATGTTTCTGTTAAACTGCTCCATATTTTTTTTAAAACTCTTCAGACTCTTGATGAAGTCGATAATCTCTATCATATACTTTATCATAAATCTTTTCGACGATTGATGAACTCAATAATTGTCTTCATGTACCTTATCATAAACTCTATCTTGACTATTTAGGATGGCCATGAGCTCTTCCAAATGTTCTTTTAACTGGAATGCTCAAGTATGATGTTTTCATTAGCCCTTCAGAAAAGGTTTAAAAAATAATATGAAGAGATTTATAATATTCATGAACCGTCACAAGGACTTCAAATTCGAATTTCCTGATCCCGATTTACTGTCATCCACCTTTTTAACGTGTAAAATGTGACTTTCGATTGGAAATCCTGACCCTCGATAACTTACAGTTAAGTTTCATCAAAAGGTCCAAAAAGGTTAAAATAAAAAAAAACTGGTTTGTGATTGGTCAGCACTCTAGTCAATCGGAAGGCCGAACGTGGGTGTGGATGTGGGTGGGTGTGGGTGTGGGTGTGGGTGGGTGTGGGTGTGGGTGTGGGTGTGGGTGGGTGTGGGTGTGGGTGGGTGTGGGTGGGTGTGGGTGTGGGTGGGTGTGGGTGTGGGTGTGGGTGTGGGTGTGGATGTGGGGTGTGGGTATGAGTTGATAAAACATCTACACCTACACTCACACCTAAACCCCACTCCTACACCCACACCCACCCAAACCCAAGGGGGAAACTACTGATTCAACTCAGATGAAACTCAAAATAAATCACTCAAACTCAAAATAAATCACCAAACTCAGCTGAACTCATTTTAAATCAGATAAATCACCTAAACTCATATTCGATCACTAAACTCATTTTAAATCAGATAAATCACCCAAACTCAGCTGAAACTCAAAAATAAATCATTTTAAATGAGTGGTTTGTTTTTGAAAAAGAATTATTTTATTCTCAAGATACAATCAAATTTGATATTTTTATTCAATTGCTAATTAAGATCTTGCTAATTTATTCAACTTGGGTAAAAGAAGGCATTCTATTATACAGTTGTTGAATATTATTTTTGCATCTTAGAATAT